CCCCCCCCAGCAGCACACCAGACCCCAATAAAACAAGTTAGCTGCAAAGATGAGACTGCGCAGCGCGGATACTTTCAACAGGTTGATTGCTTTGTTGCTAGCTTGGTTGGTTCCTGTTCTTCTTCTTTGTTGTGGGTCGTGGCGATTGCTGTTGTGGTTGTTGTCGTTGCAGTTGGTCGAATCTGCGCACGGAACTCGAACTCGAACTCGAACTGGTCCACCCCCCTCTCGCTCGATCCACGCACTTGCGCATCGAGCTCGAACTCGAACTCGCACTTGAATCCGAACTCGAACGGGATCATTTAGAACCACCTGGGGCACGGCCTGCTTTTCCAGGTAGCGCTTCTGGCATCCATTGGATACCTGGGCTTTGCGGCCTGAGGGCCCAGAAGTGGGTGTCTCAAATGCAGCGCGTCAAAAAGCGGGTGAGAGTTTTAGTTGGGCTTGACAAAGATTCTTTTGAAGCGAGAGAGGTTGTATGTGTTTTCGAAGGTTGGAACGTTACTGGCTGGCACACTTGGAGACAATTTCGGGTGTGGCCGGCCAATTTTGCAGATGCCTAGATCATTCAAAACTCGTGCCCAAAATAGTTCTTTCTTAGGGACCAAAGTCGAAAGCATGCAACTCTCAACGGCAAGGCGCAGAGTCCCCATCCTTCTGGGCTATTTGGGCGTCATGGTAGGGTGCGCCTCTTGCTATGTAGCCTCGTTAATTTAGATTTGACAGCCGTCGTTGGCACTTAGGTCTGTGGGCATGTGGAGTGCTCCTTCACCTGTAGTGGCTGGCAGCATAGCGCATTCCCAGGTTTCTGCGATGAGTGGTTTGCGAATGGTAGGGTACGGGAATAGCACACGAAGACATTGGTCACGATGAACTCTTGCAGTGCCGTGAGTCCATAATGACAGTCCAAATCGGGATGAAATCAGGTGGGAATATTCCGTGCACTCACTGGTTTCTCCGTTGCTTGGCTCTGATGTGATTCCATGCTTTTCCTGTTGTGTCGTGGTTTATACTTTCAAAGTTTGAGTCATGGCACAAGCCAGTCAAGCAAGGTTGGCATTGGGGTCCCAGCTTCACTGACAACCATAGACGGAGCCCAAGACCTGCCCGATCCCGGACTTTTGATTGTGCTTCCAGTGCTTTCTCAAACCTTGTGTTTGTGCTTTCTCATAGGCTGAAATTGCACCTGCAAAAAGTGTGCAGCCTCAGATGACGCGTGTTGAGTAGATGTGGGATCGACGTTACTGGCGAAGCTTTCAATCGAATTCCTCCAGCCCAACTGATAGGCCGCGCAACCCTGCTGAGTGGTTGCTATGCAGCCCTTGCGTAGGGCTTCCAAGAGTGTATGGCACGGGTCACAAGGCCCGAAAGTGGCGGCCGAAGGTGTTTTCTTGAGTTGGGACGCCTTGGCAGATTTTGTTCACTGAGATTGGGGGGCTTCTATGCTGTGTGTTGCTGAGATTCGCAGAGAAGGAGTTTGCGATGTTTGCGGTAGCATAGGCATTGACTGGTAAGGATCTTGGCCTCTACTTCTTTTTGCCAGACCTCAAGTCTGGGGATTGGAGAAGCAGAGGACTTGGACTACTGTGTCCCCATGGCATGTGGTTTTGCAGTCTGGATCATACCAGGTTTGTGCCTGTGGTCGGCAATTCCAGCGGCGATTGTTCGACTCTGAGCCACCAACATATTCCCATTAAAGTGAAGCAAACTCAATGATGTAAAAAAGACTTCATGGCAGCGAGAGACACCAATACAACCAGTCTTCTGAGTGCTGGAGGCTTTCCCCGTTGCTCTTTTCGAGCTGGAGGCGGTTTGCGCTAGTTCACTTTTTCATCATATGATTCATATGCATCAGTGTCATCGCCTTCTCCCAATGTTGAGGACACGCCTATCTTTCACTTCATGAAGGCCGGTAGCACAAAACACAAGTGGAAGTGTTTGTGAACACCTCCTGCAAGGGAGATGAAGCAAATGTTGAGAGAGCATGCCACTCAGAGTTCTTTGCTCCTGTGAGCGAGAGAGAGAGAAATCAATTCGTCAGCTTCTGGCAGTTAGTGTTGGTGTGGCCCAGGTCTTGTCCAAAATGGCGCAGCGCAATGATCGCTCAGTTGAAGACTGAGAGCAATGCAAACGCGAAGGAGCTTCTCATGAAACAATTTTGGAACCTACAAAGTGGTAGCTGTTTGCTCCTAAACTAGGCCCATCACTAATCCGATACCTCACATTTGCCCGCTTTTTGCGCTTTTCCTGGAGTGAAAATGGTGTTCTCTAGTTGCCGCGCCGTAACTTTTCAGGTCCAGTGGACACCACCGGCAACACGAACAGCGAGCAGTTCAGGCGAATTCGAACCTTGGCCACAGCATTTCACGCTTTGTTGTTTTCGTCTTCTTTAGTCTTTAAGAACTCTAAAGTCAAGATCCCAGGTATGGCAACTGATTTAGACTTTACTCTTTCCCAGTTGTGTGAAGCACTTGCCAAGGATGTGTTGGAGATGCTCAAAACCTCTGCCATTCCCTTGCTGGGATGTGCTATGTCCGAACCTTGAGTTTCCTTGCTCCTGACTACAGTATTTGGAGAATAGCTTCTGCTTGTAACCCTACTTGATGACATTTGCACTTCTCACGGCAAGGCTAGACTTCGCGTACAACTTCACTGGATTTGGCTGCGGTGCTTTGATGGCACAGCTCCAGTCATTCAGAGCACAAAGATATCATGGACCATTGCCGAAGTTCCAAGAAAGAACATGTGCAGTACACGGTTTACAAAGGTATATATGCACAAGCTATGCAAATGCTAATGATGCAAATGTGCATGGCACGCAGTGCAAGATAGGAAAAGCATTTACACGAAACACAATGATGATCTTGGAGCGATACCATTTTATTTTGTTCAGATTGCAATTATATGAACAATGTGAAATTAACACACACACACAGGTTACTATTTTCTTGATGTTTGTGATGCTGTATGATTTCTTGACATTACAAGCATCACTGTAGTTGCTTGCCTTTGTGAGACAGATACTCACAAAAGCAGCAATGTCTTGACCATTTGTCTGGGCCGACCAAGGTTATTTTTTCCCACTGGTGATTTCAGAGCTGGCCGAGGGTGCTCCGATACCACCGGTTTCTCTGGCAGATAGATGGTAACTGCTGCAAGGCCCACGCTAACTGCTCTGTTGGATCGAGGTTGGGGAACTGGTCCTTGCCAACCTGGTTGCCTTTCCGGCCTTCTACTTGGCGACTCAGGCCGGAGACGAGAATTTGTATTGGCCGTGTCCTTTTGGCTTCCACTCTTGGGACATTTGTAGGTGTTGAAGTTAGACGCTGGCTACAAAGAGGCCACTCCTAACTGGCTTGTCAAAATTGCGCCCAATCCAAGATTCTTTCAGACCAACACATGCTCCAACAAGGATATGAGCTGATGTCGCTGTTTGTTTCAAATTTGTGGGAAGAAGAAGTCTTTTTGGTTGAGTCCATCCAGAGTCTACAGTACAAAATGCACTGTATTTGCATCCAGTGGTGCGTTGTATGTGGCAGATCCTCGTTGGCATTGGCCTGGTGGAGATATGTGCTTGTTTTTGCCTCATGGCAGCTGGCGTGCCTCATTTGCAAGGGTTCTCTTGCAGCACTTTTTGTAGCTTTGTTTGTGTCCTGGCTGAGGTTCCCATTCTAGCCATCATCGGAATATTTGTATTGAAACTTATGATGGTGTCAGACCTTCAGATCACAATTTGCTGATTCCAGACACTGGAGTGCATTGAAGAGCATGAGTACGTACAAGTTTCTGCGGAAGATTGGTTGTACAGCAGCATACAAGTAGGAGGAAAGGAGTGGGTTTGCTCAGGTCCTTTTCGCAGACAGTGAATCTTGTAAAGGCCAGTGTTTCGCAGAGACAAAAACCGTTGCCCATGTCAACTACCCGAAGAGACTTCAATAATTTGCATTTGTCAATTTGCTTGAACATGTTCAAGAAAGTATATATGTATTTGGTCGACTCGGACCAATGCTTTGCCTTTCGATCGCAGTCGGAGCTCTTCCCGTCCAAGATCCGGGTCTCTGCCCTTTCTGTCTCTGGGACCTGTGGCCGCGTGGGTGCCTTGCTGGCACCTGCCATCATTGAGGAGTGCCCCAGTGCACGGAAACCCCAAGCAAAGAGGAGGCCCTTCACTCTTCAGTGCGAAAAAGACACAAAGGGGAGTTGTGGATTTCTTTCACGTGGTTTAACCAATCAAGTCCATGGACTCAAGAGCTTGTTTGGAAGTCTTCGAAGATTGACTCGTGTAGCTTATGTTTCAGGAGACCCGAGGAGAACCGAACAGCCCGGATGAATTTAAAGTCTTTCTTAGTGTGCTGGCCCGTGGCTCAGCAAAGCTTTTGGATGGAACTGACCACGCAGAATGGGCAGAGACCTTCCTAGGCAGCTGTTCTTGCTATTGCAGCAACCTTGGGTGTTTCTCTTTTGTCGGCACCTCAAAGATCCCTTTGTCAGAAGTGTTTCTGGACATGCGCACTATGTTAATGTTTTTTTTAAGCGAGTGCAGGTGTAGTTGGGGGCTTTATATGGGTTTGCATGTCAAAAGCACAAACGGTTTGACGCAACATATAGTAGACTGTGCTTGTGTGTGTGTGTGGGTGTGTGGAATCACAAGATACACAGTTAGTTCTGCACACAGATGCACACATGGATTTGATTGACTTCTCATTGCAAATGCCATTCCTCCAACTCTGATGTGCTTTCCTGAGGCCTGAAACCAAGGGCAAGTCCCTGGCATGACCTGATATTGCGCTAGCCAGAAAAAGAGACGAAGCACTCTCCTTTCAAAGGAAGGAGCACTTGTCAGTTTCCTGGGGAAAGTTCAGGATGTTTCTGTTTTTTTTCGTGTTTTTTGCCAGCTATTTGGACAGTGCCTCCCAAACCTGAGGTCACTCGGAACTGGCTCAGCCGAAAGGTCAGAGCTGCAGGCTTGGACAACCCACTGCTTTGAGCCATGGTTGAAAGAAACAACCTACTTTTTTTTGCTGCATCCATGCAGAGAGAGATTTCCGGGTTGTTGGCATCAGGCCGTGGGCCGTGTGTTTTGACTCCGGAGCTCAGACGTGTTTCGAATGAAGCCGATGAGATGTGACTGGAAGCCTGAGCACAGGGTCGAGCAATTGTTTAAGATGGCATGGCCTGACGGGCTGGGCGGCTGTACATTGATGCTGCAAGTGGCGAGGGTTAGCCTCTCTCAAGAGAACACGGCGCTTGGTTCTAGCTGAAAAGCTAAAAAAGTGGCTTTTGTGGATGTGCACTTGTGTCATGGCAGCAGCAGTAGCAGCAGAAGGAGTAGGAGTAGTAGAAGTAGCAGTAGCACTAGCAGTACAAGTAGGAGTAGGAGTAGGAGGTGGAGGAGAAGCAGTGGTAGTAGTGGTAATCGTAGTAGTAGTGGTAGTAGTGGTGGTGGTAGTAGTGGTAGTAGTGGTAGTATAGTGGTAGTAGTCGTAGTAGTAGTAGTCGTAGTAGTAGTAGTAGTCGTAGTCGTAGTCGTAGTCGTAGTGGTAGTAGTTGTAGTAGTGGTAGTAGTTGTAGTAGTGGTAGTAGTTGTAGTAGTGGTAGTAGTGGTAGTAGTGGTAGTGGTGGTAGTGGTGGTAGTGGTGGTAGTGGTGGTAGTGGTGGTAGTGGTGGTAGTGGT